AAATCAATGCTATTTTTGATAAATTTGGTAATATTAAACTTTTTTCTTTCCAATATTTATCTAAATCCAATTCTCCTCCTTCTATCTACTGTAAATACTCCATAGTTTGAAATTCAATAAAATGGTGTATATTTGTGTTGAATTTAGCCGTTATCATTATCAAACAAAAAATTATTTATGATTGTGATCAGCCAATCATATTTTTGCAGAATATGTGCATGCATATTTTATGTGATTTTCTATAAAATATGTGGCACATAACATGTGTGAAAAAATTCTTAAAATATGCGCATACATATTCCTGGACACCCTAATACTCGGCCACGGCCAACTCGGGAAAATTTCTCATACAATATTTTAGATGGATAAAAACGTTATCAACGAGCTTTTAAACACTTCTTCGAACGTAAGTCATATTTTATTACAAGTATATTCTTCTGAGCTTGCAAACTGTTAAGCGCGATGGTAGTCTAGTCAATAAGTTACTACCATAACCCATCGTGTAAGGCTTCGGTCGCACAGTCTTGCAAGAGGCTGGTTAAGCACAATGGCAGTCTAGTCAATAAGTTACTACCATAACCCATCGTGTAAGGCTTCGGTCGTACCGACCTTTCCTCGGAGTACATTCTACTTAAAGTGTGCTCAAAGGGCTTTCTATTCTCATAAAAAACATTTGACTAAGTGATCCATTTCTTTATATGTCAAGCTATCCGGTAAAGATAGGTCCAATATTGAATGGATGTTACGTTCGTTTAACCCCGAACCATTGGAATTCTATCGACACCTGAATCGTAAAACGAAAAGCATTGCCACGAGCGCATATTCTAGTGCACTTTCATTTGTTTTAACACTATCAAATAGTATTCCAGAAAAGAGAATGTCAATTTTTCAAGAAATTCAGGAAAAATGGAAGGTGAGAACATAGATACGCATAATTTACCTCTTTTGATACGAATTTTAATACATTTATTTTATGCAGAAGGGGATTTTCAATAAAGACTGGAGTGTGTTTGTCGCGGAAAAATCGGCGTCAATATCTGTAATAGCATGTTATAACGTTCAAAGAAGTTATAATCGTGAGGTTTCTTCTCACTCCTTAGTAAGTATATTCCTAAATTTTTGTATTATTAAATTCTATTATTAATAATTGTCGTCATTATGGTCAGAAACGCAAGCGTGATTATCCGATTACTCCCAACAAACCAATTATCCAACCGGAGATGAAAGAAATGTACCCGCAAGTGTCTTTTACAAAAAAATGTAAGGTTGTTGTTTTCGAAGATGAGTCAAAAAAAGTTGAGCCAGGAAAGGACGGTCAAAAAGCTGAGGTTACTGATTCAGATAAAGATGATCAAAAAGCCGAGATTACTTTCGAAGACGAGTTAGAAGGTTTAGAAAAAGATGATCAAAAAGCTTTTGAAGAGGAGTCGAAAGGTTCGGAGAAAGAAGATAATCCGTTCATAGCTATGGATTGGCATGCGTGGCTAGAAAGAATTCTGGAAGTCAGTAAAGAGCTACCTATTTATAAGAAACAACTGCTGAATAATCATTTATGAGCTGAGCTTTGTTATTCTTTTTTTCTATTGTTTTTTTTTTTTGCAGTTTTCGATTGAAGAAGCCCGAATTAAAATTTTGACATATAAATATACACCCGCAAATGGATTCGAAGAGATTATGATAAAATACATCGGGAAAGTCTTAATGGATTTGTAAGTTATTTTTGTCTTTTTAATGTGTAATATGTACTCTAATCAAATGTTGATTGATCATTAGTATAAATAAAATCATTGATATTCCCGGTCATGTAATGACCATTGACGAAATTGAGAGGGATTGGATTGTTAATAAAATTTCTCCACTCTTCACTTATATGCAAGCGACATTCGTAAACAAGATTAAATTTCATTGGTGAGTGCTGTTCTTTTCCTAACTTATAAACTCATTGTTGACTACTTACATATTAATTGTAAATCATATGATCGAATCTGATATCGAGCCAACGCACGAACGACTTGTATTCGAAGGAAACACTACAAACAAATATCGAATGAAAGCAGACGTTATTGGGGTTCGGCTTTCTGACAGCCGGCAGGTTGTCTTTTTGGAGATGAGCGGTGCTCCAACAGACTTTTTGAAGCCACACTCAGTTGGTGATACATATAAGACACTTCAAGAGCGAATTGATTCCCTAAATTCGATGCTTTTGAACTATTTGAATTATGACGTAAGATTCGCAGAGAAAATTCGCTCACTAACGATTCAAGGGATCAGTGAGTATTTTTTTACGTTAATTGTTATTTTGATTAAAAGACAGACTTTCAATTTGTTATTTTTTAACCGTTTTATCATAGGAGATCGACTAACTCTTAGAACGTTATTTTTAAGAGGAAAAGATGACTATAAGGATGAAGAAGAATTTTCTGCGGTTTTTCCACTTAGTTGGGACTTCCGGTTCCAATTCATTGAAATATTTGAATTGATGGAGTTCGTAATCGTATCCGTTTTAGAATATCCAGATGTCATAAGGGAACTAATTAAGCATCCAGCAACCTCACCTGAATTTTCAATCCGAAACTGCATTTCATGTTCATAGCATTAGTTTTATTTTCAAACAAAATACGTGAATGTCAAAAATAAAAGTTTACATTGAAACAGTTTTTTCCACGATCTAGACTAGTAATTTTTAACCAATATATGCGAATGTGTTAAAAAAGGAGGTTACATGCCATTTTTTATCTACTGCGCGAAGTCACATGATTCTGATCGTTCCTGAGGGAACGGTTTTTCATAACCTAAAATTTAGGCTGGTCGCAGTGAGCGCAGTGAGGTACTAAAATAATTCTTTGCAGATCGATCACCTGGCCGAATGCGCTTAACGCAAATGCGCAGTATGATATCGGAAACTCTTGCCGAGCCTTTCGACGGCTGTTCCGAACCCGCATCATAAATACTGCAGAATGCTATGCGAAGTAATACGTCATTGACGTTCATCATAGCCGGTAGATCTCATATTTCTATTGGCTGGAAGTGAGAAGAGTCTTCACGGATATCATATGACATAGCATGTATCACGAGCTAAAACTCCCGAACTTTTTTGTATTAATTTTCACATGTATTTTTTACTCCCAATGATGTAATAATAACCGATCACAAATAAAAGAGAAAATTAAGTAGATCATAATTTCATCGGTGATAAATATTCATGTATCACATTATTAGCCATAGATCCTGCTTCTATTGGTTGATAGTGAGAAGAATCTTCATGATTATCATATGATATAGTATGCTACCTTATTTTCTTGCTCGGCTTATCAATTCAACCCTTACCATGACACTGTAATTATAAATATACTAACATAAATTTTTTTCACCTTAATGGCATCCCAGGAATCGATTGCATTATTTCTAATGAGTTTGGGTCATAGAGTGGCTCCCAATCTTTTCTCTAAATCTTTTCAGAGAGCTGAACTTTGTTTGGATTGCAAAAGGGAAATTATAAACTCACATGTGATGTTTCAATGTGATCATACTTTTCACCTTAGTTGTTACCCTGCATTTTAAGTTTGCAAAAAATGATATTCAGTATGTCAAAAGTGTAATAGAGAAGAGCTTGAAAAACTCAGTTGAAAAAATATCGAGTAGGGAAGAAAGATTGTTAGCTTTTATATATAAATGACAACTGAAGTGATGAAAATTGATAGCAATTCATCAGAAGTAATCTCTTATGATTAGCCTTCAATGATTCTATGAAAATTATCTTGAAAAGTCAGCAAGGCTGATTCTTATGCCATCTATTGCTATTACGAATTTGGCTTAGCAGTAATCAATCATTTCAATGAATTAATAGAATAAGGGTAGAAGAGGATACGATCTAAGTTAAATACAAAGGTTCAGAAATATTTACCAGCTGGTACTTCTTTAGCTATGACAAAGAATAAAATTAAAAAGGCTAAAAAAATGGTTGATATTTTTGATCCTATAAGTCTATTTAGAATTCATTATATTCGTTCATTTTCTGTAGACCAGCTCTCATATTTTAAAGCTGACGATATCAACTTCATAAAAGCAAAATTATCAAATCCTAGAATATGCGAAACACCTTGAGTATTTTATTATGTCTTTTTTATATCTTTTTATATCTTAATTTATATTATATATACAACGATATGTCATACTTCTCTTTAATAAAAACTCTTAGCATATGGTCTCATAGCTGATATGAGATCATACTAGATAAATTTGTAGATATGTCATTCTTTTCTTCAGTAGTCTTTTTTAGTCTGTATGATTTTTTTTTCTTATAATTGATAAGTAGAAATATAATAAATAAATTTGTAACGAATAAAAGAATAACAAATCTTATATATCAAACTTTCATATATCTGAATATTTAAGCACTTTGCTTTTTTTTAACCTGGTTAGCCAATTTATAATAAAATACTTTTCATTTTTAAATGTGTTTTATTTTCAAGTGATACTATAATAAAATATTTCATTTGCTTTACAATCTATTACATCACACATACAATCATGAAAAAAATACAAAATTTACTAAACTAACATAGTTATTTACAATATGAAAAAAATTTCGCTTTAATACAGAATAGCAAAGTAAAATAAATGATCTTCTTTATTATTAAAAAAAATCACTCTTGGTAGTCTGATTCAATATAATTAATAAAAACATTAATTATTTCAGCACTTTTAGAGAATGAAAGCATCACAGAACTTGAACTAGAAGAAGGTATTATTAGATGCGATGTATTAGGAAAAGAAGTTACTCGAGGTATTTTTAAAGCAGTTCTAGATGATAATCTAACAATTAGTCTTAAGGTTCTTAATGGCTATGATCTACTTAATATAAAGTTGATACTATAATTAAAAAGTTGCAACTTACAGTAGCGGTCATAAGTATCCGACCGCCTCTAACTCCGGCTACAAGTAAGTAAATTCAAAATTTTTTTTTT